CTAGAAGACCCGGAAGGAAGGAGCCGGGCGAAGACGAGTTGGGCAGCGGCGGCAGTACCCGACTCTGCATCTGGGGGCAGCAGCAGAGTAGACCCTCAGCTTTGTCACACCTGCGGAGAGCACGGGCACTTGAGGCGTGATTGCCCCAACGCGCCGACCTGCGAGCAATGTGGGAAACGCGGACACAGGAGAGAGGACTGTTACAGCCAACCGAAGGACGCGCTGGGGGCAACGCGAGAGGAGCTCCAAGCCGAGGTCAGGCGGCTGCAGCTGCGGCTGGAGCAGCTACCTAATCAGAAGGAGGTAAAGGCGCGAGCGATGTTGGCGTACGAAGAAGTGGACGACGCTGAGGAAGAGGACGAGGAGGAATATACGCGAGAGTACGCAGCCATCGCGTATCCTCGGGCCCGAGACGATATCCGACTACGACCACGGGCTAGCCAGTCCCAGAGCAGCGAAGTGACAAGTGGAACCCGGCCCCGGGGCAGTCAAGCGGAAGGAGCACGACCCTCGGAGATGAGGCGGCACCCGAACGAGCGGCTGGTGTGTCAAGCGTCCGTGCTGATTGCCGAAAAGGGGAGTCTTACCGTGGGAGGCCTGCCCGTGAAGCAAGCTATCATCGACACCTGAGCTCATCACGTGCTCATCGGCAAGGGACTCGCTAAACAACTGAAGCTGGACGTATCCGGGCGTACCATTGAGCGGGGAATCCTACTCATGACTGCTGAAGGAGGAGAGCCGAAGTGGATGCCGAAAACCAGGCGGCCGGTGGAAGTGGTGCTCTTACCAGGGACGGAGAAGAAGTGCTGCATCCGGCTGCAGTGTGGCGTCTCGGAGTCCGAGGACTATGATGTCCTCGTTGGGATGGAGCTCCTCTATCGAGTAGGAGCTACCATCTGTACTTGGCAGGAGAAGGTGCTCTTTCGTAGGCATGCTGCCGGTTCGGTTCGTGCGGCAGGAGCCACGAGAAGCGTACCAGGCACAAAGGAAAGATCTGACGGAGGAGCTGGAGGATTGGCCGTGGGAGAGATATGAAGCGGAATACGAAAGGCGGATCGAGAGGCGAACCTTGGGACAGAGCCCGCCGGATTTGACGGAGCGGGTCAGCAGGGTGCAGGCCTTAGATGTGCCCATACGCGTCTTGGAGTTGTACGGGGGAATCGGGACCGGCCTGGCAGCGGCGTTACGAGCTGGATGTACTGTCAAGAAGTGGATCCATGTCGAGCGGGATCCAGCCGTGCGGAAGATGGCGCGCCACCATGCCGAGCTGCTTCGGGACGAATAACCAGATCAAATGTGGGAGGACGCTCTTCCATACGAGTCTGAACCAACGGTGCATGACGTCCGAGATATCTCCGAGCGCGTACTGGAGAGCTGGGGGCATATAGACTTGGTCATTGCAGGGTGGGAATGTCAGGGGTACTCCAGAGCCGGGGAGGGCCTGGGGATGGAAGACGCGCGGGGAGCCTCGTTCCGGGACTTGCGGCGGGTGTTAGAGATGATTCAGCAGCGTCAGGGAGAAGTTGCCTACATTCTGGAGAATGTAGACCTGGCTGAAGATAAGCGAGAGCCGGTGAAGAGAGCATTTGAGGAGATCGCAGGAATCGTGGGGCGAGGAGTACCAGCCGACGCGGCGCAGCTGGGGTCGCGAGCACATCGGCCGAGGCGGTACTGGCAGAATGTGATGTCTACCGCAGCGTTGCGGCACTCTCTGGCGCTGATGCAGCGGCCAGAACCGCGCTTAGTGAGTGACATTCTGGAGCCCAACCGCCTCCCCGCGCCTGTGACGTGCGCTGATCACCCGTCACAGTACCAGTGTAATGAGCCGGGCAAGCCGCGGCAAGCGCTGCCTACCTTAGTGTCCTACGCTGAAGCCCGCGGATTCTTTATGGAGGGAGATTTGCCGGGCCCGGGGATGATCTACGACGTGCGAAAGGGAGTTTGGGAGCAACCGACGGCGAATGAACGGGAGGCAGCAATGGGGCACCTGTGGGGAGCCACGGCACATCCGGAGGTGACAGAGGAACAGCGCCGAGCCGCCTTGGGTCGAGCCATGGACGCGAATGTCATGACCTGGCTCCTAGACACGATGCGGATGCACCTAAAGGCGAAAGAGCTGCAGAGGGACATCGCGTGCGGTGAACGCTACCACGACCTAGAGACTGTCGAATGGCAGAAGAGGTCACTGGCGCGGATCGAAGAGCGGTATGACTTGAAGATTGATGAGGGGTGGGCGGTGTACATGGCCATGGAAGCGACGGAAGGTGTGGTTGAGGGAGATAGGGAGGCAGCGGCGGACCCACCAGAGAAGCGGGAACGGGGGCCCGAAGAGGAGTGGATATTCGGAGGAGGAATGGATACCGAGTCAGGAGCAGCTTTGCAGGAAGTGCTGAAGCAGCATCGCGGGACCTTTGCGTACACTTTGCAAGAGCTGGGAAGGTGTACCACGCATGAGATGAAGATCGAGCTCACCACTGAGGTTCCTATATACCAACGGAAACGGCGGATGAGCCCGGGAGATTTAGATATCTGTACGGAGAAATGCAGCGAGCTGTTGGAAGCAGGACTGATCCAGCGTTCCGAGAGTGACTACGCCGCGGCTACCGTGGTAGCATCACGGAAGGATCTGACGGGGGCGGTCTCCGCGCGGAGGATGTGCGGGGACTATCGGAGTCTGAACAAGGTCACGGTGGCAGATAGGTATCCCATGCAGTCAGCAGAAGAAATCTTTGATAAGCTGCAAGGGGCAAAGGTTTTCTCCACACTGGATCTACGTCAGGGATTTAATCAGATCCCCATCCGAGCCACTGATCGCAAGAAGACGGCCTTCCATGGACCAGACGGTCCGTACGAGTGGCGCTTCATGCCTTTCGGAATGAAAAATGCGCCCGCCTTGTTCCAACGGGTCATGGACACGACACTGCGCGGAGTGCCGGCGGCTGCATGTTACATTGACGATGTAGTGGTTTTCAGTCCGGACGCGGCACAGCATGTGAAGGACGTGCAAGCAACGCTGGACGCCATCCGGGCAGCAGGCCTCACGTGTCACCCGAAGAAGTGCAGCTTCGGGAACACCGGAGTGAAGTACCTGGGTTTCGAAGTTCAAGGAGGGCAGCTGGGGATTCAGCAAGCGAAAGTGGAGGTCTTGGATAGGGTGCCGCAGCCGAAGGATAGGAGCACGCTGAGGGCCGTGCTCGGATTCCTCAATTACTACCGGAAGTTCATTCCAAACTTTAGTAAGACTGCCGCGGCATTGAATCGGCTGCTGAGGGAAGACCAGAAGTGGGAATGGGGAGAGGCGGAGCAAGGGGCATTCCAGGCGCTGCTGAAAGCCGTGAAAACGGCCACGGTGCTGACGCTGCCAAGTACAGAGGATCCATTTGTGCTGTACACGGACTGGAGCAGCGCGGGTATGGGGGCGATCCTGTGTCAGAAGCGGGAAGGAGAAGAGAAGGTAGTCGCCTTCGCCAGCCGGAGCTGCAACCCAGCCGAGGCTAACTACAGCTCGTACGAGGGTGAGGGGCTAGCGGCCGTGTGGGCTATCACTCACTTCCGAGTATACCTACAAGGGAGGCAGTTCGAGCTAGTGACAGATCACCAACCACTAACTTGGCTGATGACCAACCAAGCGCTAACAGGGAGGAACGCGCGCTAGGCCATGCGGTTACAAGAAGATGATTTCTCCATCCGGCACCGAGCAGGCAAAACCATGCAACACGTAGATGGGCTGTCACGGAACCCGCCAACGCCTCGCCCCACAGCTTGTCTAGTGGCACTAGCGAGAGAATTAGATGCGGAAGGGGCCATACGAGGAAACGGGACGGGGCCTGCTGATGTCTGGGAAGACCAGGAAGTGCTGGACTGGGTGCAAGGGAAGACCGCAGAGGAGACTACCACCAGCGAGAGGGCCAGGGCTAGAGCAGTTGCAGAAGAACACACGGGACGGATGTTTTGGTCCCACGGCCACATGAGAGAGAGCACATCATCAGCACTGTACACCGGCAGTTGGGACACTATGGAAGTCTGCGCACCACGCAGCTAGTGGAGACCGGGTGGTGGTGGGCTGGGATGCGGAGAGATATCAGGGAGTGGGTGACCAAGTGTGAGCTGTGCAGTCGGAACAAAGCGGAGCTGGAAAGGGGTAGGAAGGAGCTGAAGTCGCTGCCTATACACGGCATAGGGTTCCGATGGTCTCTCGACCTGGCTGGGGAGATGCCTCTGAGCAGGAAAGGGAAGCGTTACATCTTAATCATGATTGAGCATGGCAGCAAATGGGTCGAGGTGAAAGCCCTTCCCAGCAAGAACTCGGCTAAAATAGCTGAAGCGTTCGAGGAGCAGGTGCTCGCAAGGTTCGGGGCTTGCGGGGAAGTGCTAACTGACCAAGGGACAGAGTTCATGGGAGAGTTCGACAAGTTGTTGCGGGCCACAGGTATCACTCACAGAAGGACCTCCAGATATCATCCACAGAGTGACGGTCTCACAGAGCGATTTGTACAGACAGTGAAGCGGGGGCTGAGGGCCTACGGAGAGCAGTTTAAGAGGGACTGGGACACACGGCTCCCGTGGGTAGTGGCAGGATACAGATTCAGTAAACAAGCGGCTTTACGAGACTTATCTCCGTATTACCTGCTCTTAGGGAGAGACCCAGTGCTGCCTGTGGATGCGCCGAGAATCCTTACGGGGTCGGTGCAAGTGGCCAACGAGGAGGAATGGGTGGGGCTGGCAGAGGCGAGGGCGAGGTACTTGAGAGAACTCTTACCAGCGGCACTCGAGAATCTACATGTGGCACAACTGAGGGATGCACAGCGGTACAAGAAGAGAGGAGAACGGCAAGAAGGGAAGAGGGACAAGGCCCTGGGAGCAGGAGAGGAAGTATACTTGAAGCAGGCGAAGCACGATCTGATGGACATCGGGCTGAGCACAGAGCGCTGGAAGGTTAAGGAGATCAAGGACTCTGGGGTAGTGGTGCTCGTGAGCGCGCAAGGGAAGAGGAGAACCGATCATTGCACTAATGTGGCGCGGGCGAGAGGGCGGGCAGTGGAGCAGGCAGCAAGGCGGACAGGAGACGAGGAGTTCCAGCGGCCGTCGGCAGGAGCCAGCAGACAACCGCGGAGGGGGCAAGTGGAGAAGGCAAAGGAACATGGGGGAAGGACCAGCAGAGAGCTCAAGGCACTGACGAGGCCCATTTGAGCGCATCAGAAGAAGAGACAATGCGGCAGAGTCCATGGAGCCAAGCGGAGAGCAGTTGCAAGAGCAGGCAGAGCTGAGCTGCATGATTCCGACAGCTGTCACGATTCTAATCTGAGCGTATAGCAGTATATATATCATCGTGACTAATAGCATATAAGAAACACTACAGTAGGAGGAGGACAAGTGAATCTGAAGTCGGGCGAAGCGACTCATTCAAAAGGGTAGTGAATTGGCGGGCGAGAGAGATCCGTTGGGCAAACGGTAACCCGTCGCTAGTACTTAAGAAATAGGCTAGCTTAGGAAGGATTGCTTGCGTGATTGTTTTCACACCTATGCTTACAATTCCGGTCTATACCAGTGAACTGAGCACGCGAAACCAACGCCGCAAGCAATTCAGATCCAATCGTTCCTTTATTCAGCCAGCCGAGCTAGGGTTTGCATAGCTAGATACAGGCTGTGGTACGGGACAAGTGGAGAAGGCAAAGGAACATGGGGGAAGGACCAGCAGAGAGCTCAAGGCACTGACGAGGCCCATTTGAGCACATCAGAAGAAGAGACAATGCGGCAGAGCCCATGGAGCCAAGCGGAGAGCAGTTGCAAGAGCAGGCAGAGCTGAGCTGCATGATTCCGACAAAGTCAATATTTATGGTTATGTGACACATCCACTCCTCTCCCATAACATCCCCAGGCCCCTCCTGCGCATTGTGTGTTCGTAGCTTCAATCTTGCGATTACAGCCAGTTCTGCCCACAACCTTCTCACCGCCCCTTTCCACCACCGCTACATTCAATGCTCTGGTCGTTTTTTCCGGGCATTGCAAGGGCAATGGAGGGGCAAGCGACCAGCCACCTGCCGGCCAGACATCTCCTTCAACAAGCTTGGAGCGGCCAGCCAGGGCAAGCAGCATCCTCACTCATCGCTGTGGCATTCAACAAAGCAAAGACTTGCGTCGGCAGCGTGGTTGAGGCGTGCTGTGGGCATCATGCTGGCATGCATGAGAGGAGAGAGGCGGCGGCGGTGGCGGTGGCAGGTGCGCAGTGGGCATGCTGGGGAAGTCGGGCGCCACCTCCATGTGCTGCTCCGGCTGGACCCTCGCCATGGGTGGTGGGGCGGTGGGAGGGGCGGTGGGAGGGGCGGTGGGAGGGGCGGTGGGACGGGTGGTGGGAGGGATGCACTCATGGGCTGAGGTGGTGCGAGGAGAGGTTGGTTGGGAGGGAGGGGAGGGTTAAAGCGAGGGGAAAGAGGGGAGAGTGGGGGCGAGGGGAGCGAGGGGAGCGTTGGGGCGAGGGGAGGGAAGAGAGAGTGGAGACGAGGTGAGTGAAGGGAGAGTGGGGACGAAGGTAGCGAGGGAAGAGAGGGGAGTGAGGGGAGTGAGAGGAGTGAGGGAAGAGAGGGGAGAGAGGGGAGAGAGGGGAGTGAGGGGAGAGAGGGGAGAGCGGAGAGAGAGGGGAGAGAGGGGAGGGAGGGGAGTGGGGAGAGAGGGGAGAGAGGGGAGAGAGGAGAGAGGGGAGAGAGGGGAGGGAGGCGAGGGAGGGGAGTGGGGAGTACCTGCAGAAGGGCGAGGATTGCAGCAAGCAGCGAGTTGAGGAGCACCACGAGGCAGAACACCTTCCCTGCCACCACCCCACACGCGTAGTACCTGCACCGTGTGCGCGGCATGCAAGGCACATGCGAGGGCCATGTGAGGCGCATGTGAGAGTGGCACGTGAGGGTATGTGATGGCCGCACCACGAGGGGCATGTGATGATGGCACACAGTCTGATGGAGGCACGAATGCAACACAGGAGCCGTGCTGTCATGCAACACAGGAGCCGTGCTGTCATGCAACACAGGAGCCGTGCTGTCATGCAACACAGGAGCCGTGCTGTCATGCAACACAGGAGCCGTGCTGTCATGCAACACAGGAGCCGTGCTGTCATGCAACACAGGAGCCGTGCTGTCATGCAACACAGGAGCCGTGCTGTCATGCGGAACCCAGTCGGGCAGATAGGGGAGCGCAGCGAGTGTGAGGAGGGATTGTGAGGTGTGCAACACAGCACAGACCGTGATGCTCTCTCAGCTGATTGGAAGGCAGGGAGAGGCGGATGGGTGCACCTGGAGAGGCGGGTGGGGAGGTCGTCGAGAGGCATGGCCATGACGCGGTCGTACACGCGCTCCGTGCGCTCTGCCACGTCATGCCAGCTGTACATGCGCGACACCTGCTCCTCGCACCGCGGTGGCCCAGCGGTGGTGTGCGGGGTGGGGGCAGCGGCGTGGAGTCATGGCACGTGGGCGTGGTAGGGCGTGGGAGGGCGTTGGGGGAAAGAGATGAGTATGTGCAGAGTAGGTTAGTCATGGCGGTGCAGGCAACGGTGGGCATGGGCACGTGGGGCATAGTGCGACGTGGCAGTGGAGAAAGGGGTGGCGTGAGGGATGCATATGTGCGGCAGGCACAGTGCCATGGTGCCATGGTGGCGTGAAGGCAAGCTAGAGTGCGAGCAAGGGGACGACGCAGTGTGATGCGCTGGAGGGGCTGTGATGAGACACATTAGAGGGTGCAGCACTGAGTGCACCAACCCCATGGTTGGGCGTGGGCCACCGATTCTTCAAGTGAGGTGCAAGGGTGTTGTGAGATCCCAAGAATGACCGTGGGAGGCAGGGAGACAGTGGATTCATAGCAAGCGTGTGGCACGGTGCTTGCGAGATTGCACACACCCTCTCGTGCATGGCCTGGGGGTTGACACGTGGCACAATCTGAATGGCCTGTGCGATGGCCTCCACGATGTCCGGCGGGTTGGGGTCCGCCAGCAGCATCATGTCGGGCGGCAGCACCTGGGGGGGGGAGGGGCGCCGTGTGGGGGGGAAGGCGCATGGTGTGTGGGGGCAGGGAGGTGGGGTTGCGGATGCTGGGACATGGGGACGCCAGCAGCAGTGCTTGAGAATTGTCTAAGATGGCTCATCCTGGCGAGCAGCAGCCCCTTTGGGGGGGGGGAGATGTGGTTCGAGAGGACGAGGGGGGATGGGGAGACACGCACGTAAAAGGAGCGGGAAGGAGATGAATTGGACGGGGGTGTAGAAGGCAAATGCGGGGGGAATTGAAAGGCACAGCAGGGAGAGCAGTGGCAAAGGAAAGCGTGCAATGGCAGACACGGCAGGGGAGGTGGAGTGCACTAGGGAGGATGAGGGAGGCAATAAGGTAAGGAAAGAAAGACCGGTGCACAGCCTTGTTCCAGCTCGCAATAACACACTGAGACCTTCCAGATTCCATGTGGCACCCGTCACACGGACCCATGTGAACCTCACCTTGCTACATCATGCAGCACTGCCCCATGGCGTCCGCAACATATCACAGCACGGTGCAGCGCACGGCACGGCAGAGCCCACTTCACCGTTCTCCCCTCGACCCCACTCTCCCCTCAACCCCACTCTCCCCTCAACCCCACTCTCCCCTCAACCCCACTCTCCCCTCAACCCCACTCTCCCCTCAACCCCACTCTCCCCTCAACCCCACTCTCCCCTCAACCCCACTCTCCCCTCAACCCCACTCTCCCCTCAACCCCACTCTCCCCTCAACCCCATTCTCCCCTCGCCTCGCCTCGCCTCGCCCCAGCCCGCTCACCTCATCTTACTTCATCCCACCTCACCTCAACTCACCATACCTCACGTCACCTCACCTCACCGCACTTCACCTCGCCGCACCTCACCTCACCTCACCTCACCTCACCTCACCTCACCGCACCTCGGGCACGCCGCCGACACGCGTGGCGACGACGAAGAGGCCGCAGCAGGCGGCCTCGAGGATGGCGATGCAGAAGGCCTCGGTGAGCGAGCTGGGAAGCGGGCAGGGGGGGAGAGGCGGGGGAGAGAGGTGGGGGGGAGAGGTGGGGGAGAGAGGTGGGGGAGAGAGGTGGGGGAGAGAGGTGGGGGAGAGAGGTGGGGGAGAGAGGTGGGGGAGAGAGGTGGGGGAGAGAGGTGGGGGGGAGAGGTGGGGGGGAGAGGTGGGGGAGAGAGGTGGGGGAGAGAGGTGGGGGAGAGAGGTGGGGGAGAGAGGTGGGGGAGAGAGGTGGGGGAGAGAGGTGGGGGAGAGAGGTGGGGGGGAGAGGTGGGGGGGAGAGGTCGGGGAGAGAGGTGGGGGAGAGAGGTGGGGGAGAGAGGTTGGGGGGAGAGGTGGGGGAGAGAGGTGGGGGAGAGAGGTGGGGGAGAGAGGTGGGGGAGAGAGGTGGGGGAGAGAGGTGGGGGAGAGAGGTGGGGGAGAGAGGTGGGGGAGAGAGGTGGGGGAGAGAGGTGGGGGAGAGAGGTGGGGGAGAGAGGTGGGGGAGAGAGGTGGGGGAGAGAGGTGGGGGAGAGAGGTGGGGGAGAGAGGTGGGGGGGAGAGGTGGGGGAGAGAGGTGGGGGAGAGAGGTGGGGGAGAGAGGTGGGGGGAGAGAGGTGGGGGAGAGAGGTGGGGGAGAGAGGTGGGGGAGAGAGGTGGGGGAGAGAGGTGGGGGGGAGAGGTGGGGGAGAGAGGTGGGGGAGAGAGGTGGGGGAGAGAGGTGGGGGAGAGAGGTGGGGGAGAGAGGTGGGGGAGAGAGGTGGGGGAGAGAGGTGGGGGAGAGAGGTGGGGGAGAGAGGTGGGGGAGAGAGGTGGGGGAGAGAGGTGGGGGGAGAGAGGTGGGGGAGAGAGGTGGGGGAGAGAGGTGGGGGAGAGAGGTGGGGGAGAGAGGTGGGGGAGAGAGGTGGGGGAGAGAGGTGGGGGAGAGAGGTGGGGGAGAGAGGTGGGGGAGAGAGGTGGGGGAGAGAGGTGGGGGAGAGAGGTGGGGGAGAGAGGTGGGGGAGAGAGGTGGGGGAGAGAGGTGGGGGAGAGAGGTGGGGGAGAGAGGTGGGGGAGAGAGGTGGGGGAGAGAGGTGGGGGAGAGAGGTGGGGGAGAGAGGTGGGGGAGAGAGGTGGGGGAGAGAGGTGGGGGAGAGAGGTGGGGGAGAGAGGTGGGGGAGAGAGGTGGGGGAGAGAGGTGGGGGAGAGAGGTGGGGGAGAGAGGTGGGGGAGAGAGGTGGGGGAGAGGTGGGGGAGAGAGGTGGGGGAGAGAGGTGGGGGGAGAGGTGGGGGAGAGAGGTGGGGGAGAGAGGTGGGGGAGAGAGGTGGGGGAGAGAGGTGGGGGAGAGAGGTGGGGGAGAGAGGTGGGGGAGAGAGGTGGGGGAGAGAGGTGGGGGAGAGAGGTGGGGGAGAGAGGTGGGGGAGAGAGGTGGGGGAGAGAGGTGGGGGAGAGAGGTGGGGGAGAGAGGTGGGGGAGAGAGGTGGGGGAGAGAGGTGGGGGAGAGAGGTGGGGGAGAGAGGTGGGGGAGAGAGGTGGGGGAGAGAGGTGGGGGAGAGAGGTGGGGGAGAGAGGTGGGGGAGAGAGGTGGGGGAGAGAGGTGGGGGAGAGAGGTGGGGGAGAGAGGTGGGGGAGAGAGGTGGGGGAGAGAGGTGGGGGAGAGAGGTGGGGGAGAGAGGTGGGGGAGAGAGGTGGGGGAGAGAGGTGGGGGAGAGAGGTGGGGGAGAGAGGTGGGGGAGAGAGGTGGGGGGAGAGGTGGGGGGAGAGGTCGGGGAGAGAGGTGGGGGAGAGAGGTGGGGGAGAGAGGTTGGGGGGAGAGGTGGGGGAGAGAGGTGGGGGAGAGAGGTGGGGGAGAGAGGTGGGGGAGAGAGGTGGGGGAGAGAGGTGGGGGAGAGAGGTGGGGGAGAGAGGTGGGGGAGAGAGGTGGGGGAGAGAGGTGGGGGGGAGAGGTGGGGGAGAGAGGTGGGGGAGAGAGGTGGGGGAGAGAGGTGGGGGAGAGAGGTGGGGGGGAGAGGTGGGGGAGAGAGGTGGGGGAGAGAGGTGGGGGAGAGAGGTGGGGGAGAGAGGTGGGGGAGAGAGGTGGGGGAGAGAGGTGGGGGAGAGAGGTGGGGGGGAGAGGTGGGGGAGAGAGGTGGGGGAGAGAGGTGGGGGGGAGAGGTGGGGGAGAGAGGTGGGGGAGAGAGGTGGGGGAGAGAGGTGGGGGGGAAAGGTGGGGGAGAGAGGTCGGGGAGAGAGGTGGGGAAGAGAGGTGGGGGAGAGAGGTGGGGGAGAGAGGTGGGGGAGAGAGGTGGGGGAGAGAGGTGGGGGAGAGAGGTGGGGGAGAGAGGTGGGGGAGAGAGGTGGGGGGGAGAGGTGGGGGAGAGAGGTCGGGGAGAGAGGTGGGGGAGAGAGGTGGGGGAGAGAGGTGCGGGAGAGAGGTGGGGGAGAGAGGTGGGGGAGAGAGGTGGGGGAGAGAGGTGGGGGAGAGAGGTGGGGGAGAGAGGTGGGGGAGAGAGGTGGGGGGGAGAGGTGGGGGAGAGAGGTGGGGGAGAGAGGTGGGGGAGAGAGGTGGGGGAGAGAGGTGGGGGGGAGAGGTGGGGAAGAGAGGTGGGGGAGAGAGGTGGGGGGAGAGGTGGGGGAGAGAGGTGGGGGAGAGAGGTGGGGGAGAGAGGTGGGGGGGAGAGGTGGGGGAGAGAGGTGGGGGAGAGAGGTGGGGGAGAGAGGTGGGGGAGAGAGGTGGGGGGGAGAGGTGGGGGAGAGAGGTGGGGGAGAGAGGTGGGGGAGAGAGGTGGGGGAGAGAGGTGGGGGAGAGAGGCGGGGGAGAGAGATGGGGGACTGAGGCTTGGCGGAGCGGACAGGTGGGGAGGATGGCGATGCAGACGGCGAGGTGAGGGAAGTGGGGGAGGGGGAGGGGAGGTTGAGATGACGGGGCAAGGGGGGGAATGGGGGGCATGGCAGGCAGGGAGGGGTAGGGGGAAGTGGGGACGGCCAGGTGGGGAGAGGAGGCAGAGAGCGGGGATGGAAGAGAGAGAGACGCACGGCGTGCAGCTCTGAGCAGCATGCAGAAAAGATGCTCTGTGAAAGGGAAGAGGAGACGGAAGTGAGTGGGCAAGGAGAGGCACTCAAGAGGAGGGATAGGTGAAGGCGCTACAGAGGACTGTAAGGTGAAGGGGGGTGGGGAGGGGTGTCAGGGGCACGATAAGGGACAAACGTGGTGAAAGTGGACGAGGAAAGCAAGGAGAGGGATGAGTGTTGGAGTACGAGAATAGTGCAGGCGGACAATGTGGCGTGGCTGACAAAGTGGCGTGGCGGACAATGTGGCGTGGCGGACAATGTGGCGTGGCGGACAATGTGGCGTGGCGGACAATGCAACAGAGTGGGGCTTACTTGGAACCGCATCTTCGTGCCAGCTGGCTGGCAGGAAGGCGTGAGGATGAGAGAGTAAAAAGGGAGAGGGAAGAGAGGAAGGGGGGGATCGGTGAGGAGGGGAGGGAAGGGAGGGGAGGGGAGGGGAGGGGAGGGGAGGGGAGGGGAGGGGAAGTGAGCGGAGGAGAGCGGAGGGGAGGGAGAGGGTGAAGGGGAGGGGAAGGGAGGAAGAGGCGGAAGAGGAGGGAGCGGCGGGGACCTGTTGAGGAAGATGTGGCCCTGGATGAGCACCTGTTGAGGAAGATGTGGCCCTGGATGAGCACCTGTTGAGGAAGATGTGGCCCTGGATGAGCACCTGTTGAGGAAGATGTGGCCCTGGATGAGCACCTGTTGAGGAAGATGTGGCCCTGGATGAGCACCTGTTGAGGAAGATGTGGCCCTGGATGAGCACCTGTTGAGGAAGATGTGGCCCTGGATGAGCACCTGTTGAGGAAGATGTGGCCTTGGATGAGCACGGAGCGCACTTGGCTGTGCGGCACGGCGCCCAGCATGGTGACGCGGTGGTGCAGCCCGTGGCGGTCCCTCATCTCCTCCAGCCGCCCCCTCTTGGCGCCATCGCCCCCTATTATCCACCGCACCTGGTGTGAGGCGCATGGCATGGCGGCATGCATGGGGCACATATGCGCGCGCGCGCGCCCACACACACACACACACAAACAGGCGCACGCACACACACAGGCGCACGCACACACACACACACCCACACGCACACACACACAGGCACACGGACAGACACACGTGCACACACACGCGTACCCACATGCACACACATGCACACCCACACGCACACGCACACACTCCTCCCCCACCCCCCCACACACACACCACACACCACACCACACACACATAGACACACACACACCTCACATAACACACACACACACACACCCACGCACGCACACACACACACACACACACACACACACACAAACACACACACACACACACACATGTTAGAAATCAGGAAGTTGTATTGAGAAATGAGCCAAGAGGCTCTACAATACGAGCAAGGAGCAAGAGAGGAGTGTGAAAGAAGCTAACCCTAAAAGCCACTAAGTCGGCCAATGGGTGAGTTGGCTTGTGGCCCAAGCAACCACAATTGTGAGTTGATTGGATTGGTTGGGACAAGGACCAAAGGTCGGCAAGTGCCAACCAAGGACCAATGACCAAATCCAATCTTGACCAACCACAAGTTGTGGATGGAAGATACACCCATCAACCCTCCAATAGAAGAAATGACTACACCCTGTAATCTAGCCTATGGATGTTGCATACATTATAACATTACAACCACACACACACACACGCACACACACACACACACACACACACATACACACACACACACATTCACACTCATACGCACACGCACACGCGTGCATGCACAAACCCCCCTCCTCTTCCTCCCACACCCCCCTATTTCCCAAAATACACACGCACGCACGCGCGCGCACACACACACACACACACACACACACACACACACACACACACACACACACAGAGTGAAAAAAACAAAGAGAAGGTACCATACAAGAGCGAGTGCATGGCGGTGGCAGCTGGGAGGCAGGCCCTGGTACTATCAGCGGCAGCGAGCTCACATGAGGGGAATGGCAGGCACACTTGAAGGGCTGAGAGCAGCAGCGCGCACACACACACACACACACCTTGGGGAAGCGGTGAGAGCAGCAGCGCGCACACACACACACACACACCTTGGGGAAGCGGTGAGAGCAGCAGCGCGCACACACACACACACACACACCTTGGGGAAGCGGTGAGAGCAGCAGCGCGCACACACACACACGCACGCACGCACGCACGCACGCACGCACGCACACACACACACACACACACACACATTGGGGAAGCGGTGGCAGACGGCGGGGATGACGTCGACGAGGAGGTCAGCACCCTTGCGGTACACGAGGCGGCTGATCACCACTATCACCACCTCCATCTCCGACCCCTCTCCCCCTCGCATCTCTGAACCAACCCCCAAGCTCGCCTCCATGCCACCCCCCATGCTGCCTTCCCCATCCCGCCCAGCAGCCACTGCCATGCCACTGTGCTCGAGCCCCTCTGCTCCTGATGGTCCCACCCTCCCCGCCACCTCAGCCGCTGGAGGGTGTGTCATGCTTGCTGCTCTCTCCGCCTCTTCTCTGCTCCACGCTCCCCTTGCCCCTCCCTCCCTCGCTGCCTCCTCCCCTCTTCCCCCACCCCCGACTGCCTCTCTCTGCCCCACAGCCCCTCCTGTCCCACCTTTTGCTCCTCCCCCTGCTGCACATGCTGCTGCCCCACCCCCACTGCCTGCAGCTCTGCACAGCACGGCACTACCCTCATCCTCCACATCCCTTTCTCCATCCTCCCCTGCTGCTCGTCCTCCAGCCCCCTCGCTGCGCAAACCAACAGCAGCAGCGGATTCCCCAGCAGCACCCGTAGTAGGGGCAGCAGCAGGGGCAGCAGGTGGGGGGGGCGGGCAGCGGGTTGGGTCGGGGAGGAAGTTGTTGGCGTCGACGGCGTTGGGGATGACAGCCACTCGGTGCGGCGGCAGGGAGGGCGCAGCGCGCAGCACGGTGTTCTCCTTGCTCGTGTGCGACACACATATGGCCGCATGGATGCCCGCTGTTGAGAACTGCAGCAGCTGTGGGGGGGAGGGTGGGAGGGAGGGAGAAGGAAAGGGGAGGGTGGGAGGAGAGAGAGGAGAGGAGGAGGCAGGGGAGGAGGTGGTGGCGTGCGGGGCATGAGTGTGACGTGCAGTGCACAGACTGCAACACGAGCAAAGCACAACTGAGCTGCCATCAGGCTGCTGCAGCATAAGGCATGCCTCCCCCTCACCCACCCACCCTCGCACCCACTCAGCACACCTTGTTCATGTGGATGCTGGCAGCACACCTTGTTCATGTGGATGCTGGCAGCACACCTTGTTCATGTGGATGCTGGCAGCACACCTTGTTCATGTGGATGCTGGCAGCACACCTTGTTCATGTGGATGCTGGCAGCACACCTTGTTCATGTGGATGCTGGCAGCACACCTTGTTCATGTGGATGCTGGCAGCACACCTTGTTCATGTGGATGCTGGCAGCACACCTTGTTCATGTGGATGCTGGCAGCACATCTTGTTCATGTGGATGCTGGCAGCACACCTTGTTCATGTGGATGCTGGCAGCACACCTTGTTCATGTGGATGCTGGCAACACACCTTGTTCATGTGGATGCTGGCAGCACACCTTGTTCATGTGGATGCTGGCAGCACACCTTGTTCATGTGGATGCTAGCAGCACACCTTGTTCATGTGGATGCTGGCAGCACACCTTGTTCATGTGGATGCTGGCAGCACACCTTGTTCATGTGGATGCTGGCAGCACACCTTGTTCATGTGGATGCTGGCAGCACACCTTGTTCATGTGGATGCTAGCAGCACACCTTGTTCATGTGGATGCTGGCAGCACACCTTGTTCATGTGGATGCTGGCAGCACACCTTGTTCATGTGGATGCTAGCAGCACACCTTGTTCATGTGGATGCTGGCAGCACACCTTGTTCATGTGGATGCTGGCAGCACACCTTGTTCATGTGGATGCTGGCAGCACACCTTGTTCATGTGGATGCTGGCAGCACACCTTGTTCATGTGGATGCTGGCAGCACACCTTGTTCATGTGGATGCTGGCAGCACACCTTGTTCATGTGGATGCTGGCAGCACACCTTGTTCATGTGGATGCTGGCAGCACACCTTGTTCATGTGGATGCTGGCAGCACACCTTGTTCATGTGGATGCTGGCAGCACACCTTGTTCATGTGGATGCTGGCAGCACACCTTGTTCATGTGGATGCTGGCAACACACCTTGTTCATGTGGATGCTGGCAGCACACCTTGTTCATGTGGATGCTGGCAGCACACCTTGTTCATGTGGATGCTAGCAGCACACCTTGTTCATGTGGATGCTGGCAGCACACCTTGTTCATGTGGATGCTGGCAGCACACCTTGTTCATGTGGATGCTGGCAGCACACCTTGTTCATGTGGATGCTGGCAGCACACCTTGTTCATGTGGATGCTGGCAGCACACCTTGTTCATGTGGATGCTGGCAGCACACCTTGTTCATGTGGATGCTGGCAGCACACCTTGTTCATGTGGATGCTGGCAGCACACCTTGTTCATGTGGATGCTGGCAGCACACCTTGTTCATGTGGATGCTGGCAGCACACCTTGTTCATGTGGATGCTGGCAACACACCTTGTTCATGTGGATGCTGGCAGCACACCTTGTTCATGTGGATGCTGGCAGCACACCTTGTTCATGTGGATGCTGGCAGCACACCTTGTTCATGTGGATGCTGGCAGCACACCTTGTTCATGTGGATGCTGGCAGCACACCTTGTTCATGTGGATGCTGGCAACACACCTTGTTCATGTGGATGCTGGCAGCACACCTTGTTCATGTGGATGCTGGCAGCACACCTTGTTCATGTGGATGCTAGCAGCACACCTTGTTCATGTGGATGCTGGCAGCACACCTTGTTCATGTGGATGCTGGCAGCACACCTTGTTCATGTGGATGCTGGCAGCACACCTTGTTCATGTGGATGCTGGCAGCACACCTTGTTCATGTGGATGCTAGCAGCACACCTTGTTCATGTGGATGCTGGCAGCACACCTTGTTCATGTGGATGCTGGCAGCACACCTTGTTCATGTAGATGCTAGCAGCACACCTTGTTCATGTGGATGCTGGCAGCACACCTTGTTCATGTGGATGCTGGCAGCACACCTTGTTCATGTGGATGCTGGCAGCACACCTTGTTCATGTGGATGCTGGCAGCACACCTTGTTCATGTGGATGCTGGCAGCACACCTTGTTCATGTGGATGCTGGCAGCACACCTTGTTCATGTGGATGCTGGCAGCACACCTTGTTCATGTGGATGCTGGCAGCACACCTTGTTCATGTGGATGCTGGCAGCACACCTTGTTCATGTGGATGCTAGCAGCACACCTTGTTCATGTGGATGCTGGCAGCACACCTTGTTCATGTGGATGCTGGCAGCACACCTTGTTCATGTGGATGCTAGCAGCACACTTTGTTCATGTGGATGCTGGCAGCACACCTTGTTCATGTGGATGCTGGCAGCACACCTTGTTCATGTGGATGCTGGCAGCACACCTTGTTCATGTGGATGCTGGCAGCACACCTTGTTCATGTGGATGCTGGCAGCACACCTTGTTCATGTGGATGCTGGCAGCACACCTTGTTCATGTGGATGCTGGCAGCACACCTTGTTCATGTGGATGCTGGCAGCACACCTTGTTCATGTGGATACTGGCAGCACACCTTGTTCATGTGGATGCTGGCAGCACACCTTGTTCATGTGGATGCTGGCAGCACACCTTGTTCATGTGGATGCTGGCAGCACACCTTGTTCATGTGGATGCTGGCAGCACACCTTGTTCATGTGGATGCTGGCAGCACACCTTGTTCATGTGGATGCTGGCAGCACACCTTGTTCATGTGGATGCTGGCAGCACACCTTGTTCATGTGGATGCTGGCAGCACACCTTGTTCATGTGGATACTGGCAGCACACCTTGTTCATGTGGATGCTGGCAGCACACCTTGTTCATGTGGATGCTGGCAGCACACCTTGTTCATGTGGATGCTGGCAGCACACCTTGTTCATGTGGATGCTAGCAGCACACCTTGTTCATGTGGATGCTGGCAGCACACCTTGTTCATGTGGATGCTGGCAGCACACCTTGTTCATGTGGATGCTGGCAGCACACCTTGTTCATGTGGATGCTGGCAGCACACCTTGTTCATGTGGATGCTGGCAGCACACCTTGTTCATGTGGATGCTGGCAGCACACCTTGTTCATGTGGATGCTGGCAGCACACCTTGTTCATGTGGATGCTGGCAGCACACCTTGTTCATGTGGATGCTGGCAGCACACCTTGTTCATGTGGATGCTGGCAACACACCTTGTTCATGTGGATGCTGGCAGCACACCTTGTTCATGTGGATGCTGGCAGCACACCTTGTTCATGTGGATGCTAGCAGCACACCTTGTTCATGTGGATGCTGGCAGCACACCTTGTTCATGTGGATGCTGGCAGCACACCTTGTTCATGTGGATGCTGGCAGCACACCTTGTTCATGTGGATGCTGGCAGCACACCTTGTTCATGTGGATGCTGGCAGCACACCTTGTTCATGTGGATGCTGGCAGCACACCTTGTTCATGTGGATGCTGGCAGCACACCTTGTTCATGTGGATGCTGGCAGCACACCTTGTTCATGTGGATGCTGGCAGCACACCTTGTTCATGTGGATGCTGGCAGCACACCTTGTTCATGTGGATGCTGGCAGCACACCTTGTTCATGTGGATGCTGGCAGCACACCTTGTTCATGTGGATGCTGGCAGCACACCTTGTTCATGTGGATGCTGGCAGCACACCTTGTTCATGTGGATGCTAGCAGCACACCTTGTTCATGTGGATGCTGGCAGCACACCTTGTTCATGTGGATGCTGGCAGCACACCTTGTTCATGTGGATGCTGGCAGCACACCTTGTTCATGTGGATGCTAGCAGCACACCTTGTTCATGTGGATGCTGGCAGCACACCTTGTTCATGTGGATGCTGGCAGCACACCTTGTTCATGTGGATGCTGGCTGCACACCTTGTTCATGTGGATGCTGGCAGCACACCTTGTTCATGTGGATGCTGGCAGCACACCTTGTTCATGTGGATGCTGGCAGCACACCTTGTTCATGTGGATGCTGGCAGCACACCTTGTTCATGTGGATGCTGGCAGCACACCTTGTTCATGTGGATGCTGGCAGCACACCTTGTTCATGTGGATGCTGGCAGCACACCTTGTTCATGTGGATGCTGGCAGCACACCTTGTTCATGTGGATGCTAGCAGCACACCTTGTTCATGTGGATGCTGGCAGCACACCTTGTTCATGTGGATGCTGGCAGCACACCTTGTTCATGTGGATGCTAGCAGCACACCTTGTTCATGTGGATGCTGGCAGCACACCTTGTTCATGTGGATGCTGGCAGCACACCTTGTTCATGTGGATGCTGGCAGCACACCTTGTTCATGTGGATGCTGGCAGCACACCTTGTTCATGTGGATGCTGGCAGCACACCTTGTTCATGTGGATGCTGGCAGCACACCTTGTTCATGTGGATGCTGGCAGCACACCTTGTTCATGTGGATGCTGGCAGCACACCTTGTTCATGTGGATGCTGGCAGCACACCTTGTTCATGTGGATGCTGGCAGCACACCTTGTTCATGTGGATGCTGGCAGCACACCTTGTTCATGTGGATGCTGGCAGCACACCTTGTTCATGTGGATGCTGGCAGCACACCTTGTTCATGTGGATGCTGGCAGCACACCTTGTTCATGTGGATGCTGGCAGCACACCTTGTTCATGTGGATGCTGGCAGCACACCTTGTTCATGTGGATGCTGGCAGCACACCTTGTTCATGTGGATACTGGCAGCACACCTTGTTCATGTGGATGCTGGCAGCACACCTTGTTCATGTGGATGCTGGCAGCACACCTTGTTCATGTGGATGCTGGCAGCACACCTTGTTCATGTGGATGCTAGCAGCACACCTTGTTCATGTGGATGCTGGCAGCACACCTTGTTCATGTGGATGCTGGCAGCACACCTTGTTCATGTGGATGCTGGCAGCACACCTTGTTCATGTGGATGCTGGCAGCACACCTTGTTCATGTGGATGCTGGCAGCACACCTTGTTCATGTGGATGCTGGCAGCACACCTTGTTCATGTGGATGCTGGCTGCACACCTTGTTCATGTGGATGCTGGCAGCACACCTTGTTCATGTGGATGCTGGCAGCACACCTTGTTCATGTGGATGCTAGCAGCACACCTTGTTCATGTGGATGCTGGCAGCACACCTTGTTCATGTGGATGCTGGCAGCACACCTTGTTCATGTGGATGCTAGCAGCACACCTTGTTCATGTGGATGCTGGCAGCACACCTTGTTCATGTGGATGCTGGCAGCACACCTTGTTCATGTGGATGCTGGCAGCACACCTTGTTCATGTGGATGCTGGCAGCACACCTTGTTCATGTGGATGCTGGCAGCACACCTTGTTCATGTGGATGCTGGCAGCATCAGCGAAGCCACAGAGCGAGTGGTCGGTGAAGACAGCGCGGCGGCCCAGCGTGGGGGCGTGCAGCAGCGCGTCGTGGCACATGGGGGCGAAGCTCTGGTGCGCGTGCACGATGGCGATGCGCTCCCGAACCACTATGGCGCGGAACAGTGGCAGCGACAGGCATGGCAGCGGCGACGGGGGCGTGGCCTGCCGCGGGGTGGGATGCGTGGGGGAAGGGGAGTGCCGTGGGGAAGGGGAGTGCCGTGGGGAAGGGGAGTGCCGTGGGGAAGGGGAGTGCCGTGGGGAAGGGGAGTGCCGTGGGTTAGGGGAGTGTCAGAGGGAGGGAAGTGCCGGGGGTGAAGGGGAGTGCCGGGGGGAAAGCAAAATTAAATGGGAGCAAGGCGTGGAATGGGATTGCAGATGCGTGCATTGGTGGGCGTGCAGTGGTGGGCGTGCAGTGCAGTGGTGGGCGTGCAGTGGTGGGCGTGCAGTGGTGGGCGTGCACTGTGCCTATGATCACATGAGTGAGGAGAGACAGGCTGGTCAGCAAAGCGTGGGGTGAGCCGAAGACCGGTGAGGTGAAGCAAACGGGACCATGAGCAGCGGCGCTGCCATTGCCTGGCAATCCAGTGGGACAACGAACTGTGGATGGGGATGGGGGATGGGGTATGGGGGATGGCGGATGGGGAATGCGAATAGGGGATGGGGGATGCATGCAAGAAAGCACTCACCTGCAGCCACACGGCACTCACCTGCAGCCATACGGCACTCACCTGCAGCCACACGGCACTCACCTGCAGCCACACGGCACTCACTTGCAGCCACACGGGGCGGCGCGGCGCGTAGTAGACCTTGAGGCCATTGGTGAGGTAGCGCACTCCCACTCGGTCGCCATATGCGTGCGTCAGCACCACCACCTGTAGCACACAGCAGGGCAGGGCACGGCAGGGCAGAGCAGGACGCACAGGGGCTGAGGCGTGTCGTGCAGCGACGGTACGGCTGTGATTCTTCTACACGTGAGAGCCGAGCGCATTCAGTTGGCATGGTGGCGCGGTGGCACTGGGCATCGGCACGGACTCGCCACTGGGCATCCGCACGGACTCGCCACTGGCACTGGGTGACACACCTCAATCCAATCTCCTTCCCCACCACGCCTGGAAAGCACACCTTCCCGTCAATGTACCACACACGCTACGCCCGCCATCCCTTCCAGTCACTCACTACCAGCGATGCTGCCACGTAAGATCCAAGACCTGATGGCTTTGTCACCTCACCGCCTCGCCACGTCACCTTGTGGCGGCGCTACAGGCGGGCGTCACCTTGTGGCGGCACTACAGGCGGGCGTCACCTTGTGGCAGCGCTACAGGCGGGCGTCACCTTGTGGCCGCGCTACAGGCGGGCGTCACCTTGTGGCGGCGCTACAGGCGGGCGTCACCTTGTGGCGGCGCTACAGGCGGGCGTCACCTTGTGGCGGCGCTACAGGCGGGCGTCACCTTGTGGCCGCGCTGCAGCAGGCACTGCGCGAGGAGGTAGATGTGGCTCTCGACGCCGCCGAAGTTGGGGAAGAAGAAGTCGCACACCATCAGCACGCGGTGCCGCCTGCCCCCGCATGTGCCGTTCGGCTCGTCGTCAGCTACCAAGGGGTCGTCGTCAGAGGCGGCTAATGGTGTGCTGCTATCACTCAAGGGACTGCTCCCCGCCATTCGCCTTCGCGACTAATTCTGCCTACGACTCGCGCGACCAGGACTGTCGATCCGTTTGGAAGCAGCCGGACGAATCAGGGTGCCCGGTATGTATGAGCCTGCTTGTAGCTGGGTTGGGCCGAAATTCGGTCCTTTAGGCTTCAGGGCTGAAAACCAGAGGAGAGGAGGGAAGGGGGGCGGGGGGGGGTTGGGAAACGGGGGACGGAAGGAAGGGAGAAACGGATGAGAGGAGGAAATAACGTGGGCGCTGGCGACAGGGAAGAAATCCTGTGCGCGCTCGCTGCTTATCCCCCCCCTCCCCTCCCCGTCTCGCTGCTTATCCCCCCCCTCCCCTCCCCGTCTCGCTGCTTATCCCCCCCATCCCCTACCTTCTCGCAGCTTATCCCCCCCACCCCTCTCTCGCTGTTAATTCCCACCTCCCCCTCTCTCTGTTTATTCCCTTCCCCCCGCCCCCTGGCTGCTTATTCCCCCCCGCCGTCTCGCTGCTTATTCCCCCCCCGCGTCGTCGCTGCTTATTCCCCCCCCGCGTCGTCGCTGCTATTCCCCCCCGCGTCGTCGCTGCTTATTCCCCCCCGCGTCGTCGCTGCTTATTCCCCCCCGCGTCGTCGCTGCTTATTCCCGCCCGCCTTCTCGCTGCTAATCCCGCATCCCCTTCTCGATGCTTATTCCGCCGTGCCCCATCTGCACTTTCCGCCGTGCCTGCTCGCTGCTTATTCCCGTCCGGCCTTCTGATGAACCCCTCGTATATCGCAATTTCTCGCTCCCATCCCCCTCGCACCTCTGCATTATCGCTGCAACATCTCATTTTGTCTCCGAGACGCGCCGCGGCTCAATCCAGTCCGCGCCTCTTGCGTAATCGATGCAGCCCCCAGTCCGTGCCACGTCCGTCGATTGCGGCTCACACCCGACCGCCACTCACACGAAATCAGCCCTCCGTGCCTCGCACCTCCTCGTTGCAAACTCCTTTTCCCTTTACGCACTCTCGCGTTACTAAAAGCCGTCCTCTCGCGCCCACCGAATGCTCAATAAACGCCCAAATGAATCTGCTACCGCACTGGCTAAAGATGGAGCACGCACTTTGGGTGATAGGGTGCACGTTGGAGCAGGTTTCACCTAGCGAAGCACAAAACTGGAACAAAGTCGCCAACTCGCCACCAGCACCTCAATGTTAGGGCGGGTGTCTTTTGGTGTAGATTGTCAAAGTTAGAGCCTAACACCCCTTTGTACCGTGGCTACGCTTCCCTCAAATCTATCCTACCGTGTACAACCTTTCTACAATTTCTTACTTTGGCAAAAGTTCGACCGCGCCCTTAGGGGTGCAATAGAACGAGATAGAGAGGATTGCACTAGGTGTCAAACGAGTACAAGTATGAGCGAAGGCATGACCTAGCTAGCTTGCACTAGGTGTCAACAGTTACGCGGTGCGTGCGAGCTAGCTAGTGCTAAGCTGGCATCGAGGTTCGGGCTAGTCCTGAAGCGTAGGCCGACTCGGTCAGGCCAGCGGCGCATGGTTTGGTAAAACAGTGCGCGCGAAGTTGGCGAAGCCCCGTTAGCACTAACGGGCAAACAACGGCTGCTGCTTTACGCGATGTTGAAGAACGCGATAAAGAATGCTGAAAATCCTTACACTATTCCCCTCCCCCCCCCCCCCCCCCCCCCCCCCTCAAGAAGCCCCCTCCGTTACGCGAGTGAGTGTATATCGTAGAAACCCTGGCTCCTAAGGTATACTTGCAGGGCAGGGTAGTTTTCGATGTTGGCTAGGGGCACCCAGCTATTCTGACTTGGCATGCGGTTCTTCCAACGAACGAGGAACTCGATCCTCTTGGTGCCTGTGGGATGACGAATCCGATGGCTCAGAATTTTCTCGGGCTCGGTGATCAGCTCCGATGCAGGGCGATTCATGGATGGCGGGCGATGTCGTGGCAGTGGGCTTGTGTTCGGGATGTATGGGCGAAGCAGGCTGACGTGGAACGATGGGCTGATGTACCAGTCTTTCGGAAACAGTAGATGGGCGGTAATTAGGGTGATCATGTGGCTATTTTGAAATTGTTATGAGTTGTAAAAGAGAGTGCGCAGGTAAACGAATAACGAGACTGTGATTGAATGAACTGAGAATACAATGAAGGCACAGACTAATGTAGGGACTAGCCTAGCTAGGAGAGGGAACCTCGGGCGAGCGAGGTTGGGTGCAGGTTTGGCGATGGGAAAATGTGTTGGAAACACGTAATTTAAGCGCCTCTGTTGTGTCGAAACACTAAGTCGTAAACGAGGCGAAACACAACGAAGCATCGACGAGTCAACCCTCGGAGGTTGAGCAACTGCTGGAGGTTACGCGAAAGTCAAAGGTCGGCGACCTTTGACCTGACAGGTACAGCGCGACAGCAAGGACAAACAACTGACTCGTTATTGAGCAGTTGCCCGAGTCGTCACTGTATCGAACCGCAACAGCAACAGTAAAACAGTTATTAGTTGTACCATTTCATATTCCTTGTACTCTTATAAAAAGCTTGTATCTCTTTGTTTTAATCAATCCACTTTGCCCTCACATACCAGCGCAAGGTGGTTCAAGGACTTATCATTTAACGCTTCCGCTATCACAACTTCCTACTTAGAGTTTAGCCCTGCAAAGATCCTAAGGGCTTTTCTCAGTCCAACATGGTATGAGAGCAATCTGGGCAAACTCAACCACTATCAAGACACCTACAACATCAGAAGGCATGGCAACACAAAAGGAGAGAAGTTCTTCTAATGGTTCTCCCGGCACTACTCCTACCCCACCTCCTGCCTCTGGCCTACAAACAGAGGAGGGCACGGCAACGAGACCAGCAGCAGGATCTACTGAAACTCCTGCGAATCAATCTGCAGGCTTCGACCCAAGCATGATGGAGAAATTCTTCTCCTTCGTGTCCTTCTACGAGCAACACCAGCAAGCGGCACCTGCGCAGTCAAACAACAGCAACAACAACAACGACGTGACACCCATGAGTCTTGACGGCTCATCCTACGCGCGCGGAAATCTGCAGCAGCAGCCTACCTTTGCTCCGTACGAGCCCCAGCGCGGTTCCATCAGCTTCATGCCGCACCAGCAGCCTTCACCTGGACAAGAGAAGACACTGGATGCACTTCAAGTTCAGTTGCAGTTCGCACACGTCCTAAAACTGCAAACATCAAGGCCATTCGACGGTAAAGATTTCTTTACCTGGTCATTCGAGTTCGAGCTGATGATGGAGGGCGGGCAGATTCTTGGATTCTTCGACGGGTCCCTGCCATACCCAACACACAGAACGCAATACAACAAGCAGCATTACACATACCAGCCAATGATGGCATACACGATCCTGCTCAGGAACATAACTCCAAACCAGCAGCAAAATATTCGGTCTTACCGGGGATACGGCAACTCCGCCGAGCTTGCGTACAACCACTTGAAGAACCTGTATCAAGCAACAGACAGCGTCAATCAGAGTCGATTAATGGCGCAGCTGACAACAGTGGAAATGAAACCAGGCGAAAAAGGGATGGCATATGTCGGCCGCTGTCGCGAACTGCGCGACAAACTCTTTCGATGCGGAGGAACGATGTCCGAAGACGCCTTCGTCACAGTCATTATCGGCGGTCTTGGTCCTCACTGGCGCTCCACTCGCGCCATACTCCGAGCTCACGGAAAAATCTCCGAAGCGGCACTCTACGCTGAAATTCACGCGAGCAGCAAGACATGGACCTGCACGAGGAGCGACACAAGAAGAAGGCGTTAGTACCCGAATTCGCATTCCACACTCAACGGCGCTACAACAACAGCAACAACCGGCAACAACCGAAACCCGTACCTCTATTTTGTCACCTCTGCAAGACGTCAGGGCATCCACGCACACACTGCCCGAATCGACAGCAGTCAACGCCACCGCAACGTCAACTTCGTCCTTCAAGCAGTCAAGTAGCGTCCACACAGGCGCACCCCACAAGTCAGCCGCAGTCTTCAACAACATCGTCAACACAATCTGCACAAGGAGCAAGAAACATCGTCAGCTGCATGGCAAGACTGACAGACTCCTGCATCACCGAGTCACCGCCGCACTACTCACCGGAAGAAACACTCGAACAAACAACTCCACGTCGCGAGTCATTACAACCGAATCCGACATACGCAGCCATCGCCCAAAGTGAGGGAAAGACACCTGGTCCTTGGACAGTTGCTGCGGACATCATATGTGCTCCTCGGGTCGCTTTGTTCAACGAGAACACCAGCTCCAACGCGAAGTCGTCATCACCGTCGCCAACAATCAGAACCTGCGCACACGACGACAAGGAGTGGTTCAACTTCAGTCATGGGAGACAAACGTCATACTGCAAATGTATAAAGTTTTAATCGCAGGGGGACTCGGGTACAACTTACTCAGTGTCAGCCAGCTGATGGCAAAGGGCATTCACCTCGAAGCAGACAGCACCACCCAAGAATTCAAATTGTACCACGGGAGAGGCGGACTCTACATCGGGAAAGCAGTGCTGAAGAACAACGTCTTCTTTCTCGACTTCGTTCCAGATCTCGGCACCGCCGACAGCGACGCCATCGTTAACTTCACTACTTGGACGCACCCGCCAGACCTTGATCCCGACTTCAGTCCTGGAGGCTTCTGGTATTAGGAAACCATACCTGAGGCAGAACGAACAAGAGCGTTAGCAACAATTCAACAGGCACAGCAGAGACAACATCGGCAGCAGCAGAGACAACATCGGCAGCAGCAGAGACAACATCGGCAGCAGCAGAAACAACATCGGCAGCAGCAGAGACAACATCGGCAGCAACAGAGACAACGACAGCAGCAGTAGCCACATTGACACGAATCGCTGGCCGTTCAACGGCACCAGTCCTCGTCGACAATTCGCCACCGACACCTGCGCAGCAGCTAATTCCGACCCCACGGGAAGTCCATCGAAGCGCCAACTTCACCGCTGGCTTTTACTCAAACTCTGACATGTACAGGCGCTCACCCGGACACCGA